GAGTCTCTCGTTCAGAGATTCGAGTCTCTCGTTCAGAGATTCGAGTCTCTCGTTCAGAGATTCGAGTCTCTCGTTTAGAGATTCGAGTCTCTCGTTTAGAGATTCGAGTCTCTCGTTCAGAGATTCGAGTCCCTCGTTCAGAAATTCGAGTTTCTCGTTCAGAGATTCGAGTCCCTTGTTCAGAGATTCGAGTTTCTCATTCAGAGATTCGAGTATCTCGTTCAGAGATTCGAGTTTCTCGTTCATAAATTCGAGTTTCTCGTTCAGAAACTGGATACGAAATGAGGATCTTTCTATGAGCGACTCGAGTCTCTCGTTCAGAGACTGGATACGAAATGAGGATCTTTCTATGAGCGACTCGAGTCTCTCGTTCAGAGACGCTAAACAGTTTTTTTGACAGTCTCTCTCAGCGACACCAGAGAGACTCGATGAAAGACGGAGACTCGAGTCTCGCTTTCAGGGACTCGGAGAGACTGTACATTTTTATCTCGGGACTCTTTGTAAAACATAAGTCAAAACCCACAGATTAAGCTCCCAAACAGTAAGTCTTTTATAGATGTTTGCACAGGTACATCATTTTCTCTGTAATTTTCAATTTCCATTGACTTTCTTTGATGCAACAATTTTAAATTTCTATCTCTACAGTAGATTTTATTTTCACTTTTACGTAAAGTCGCATAATTTTCTCGCTCCAAGAAAAAAAGAAGATAGTAAAAACCCCTGCTAAACGTTAACGAATGTAAGCATTAATCCATAACAAAGGCTCTAGTTTCTTTTCGATTTTTCCATTGGACGTAACCACGGGTCCAGATTATTTCCCTGTCCAATAGAAACGTTACCGGAAAAATCAATGGCTTGTTCCCATTGGTCCCAGATTTACATAAGATAAACGGTTGCGTGACAACGGACCGCGATCAAGCTTTAATCGTGTCTTATGTACAAAAACAATCCAATAATTTATGATAATTTGGGTCATTATTAACGGCAATTATGTATATCCCCGATGAAAAATCACGACCGACGTAAGTATGTGGTGTACAGGGGGGTTAGGAGTTGGAGAATAGGGAAAAATGATGCGGATAAATAATGATAACCAAAAATACAACAAAAAATAATAGAAACCCACCATGAAAATGAATCTTTTTGTGTTTCTCTCTACGTTGGGTATATGTTCCGAAACTATTCATCCGATTATTGAATGTAACATTGATGAACTTTTGTTCAAACCCCAAGAAAAGTTTTTGAATTGAAAAAAATTGGGTGCTTGTCATGTTGGTGCGACTTGCCGCTGGTAATCTATACATATATCATCATCATAAGGTCGTCCGTCCTAAGACTGGTTGGACACGCACCTCCACTCCTTCCTATCCTGAGCTAATCTTCGCATTTCCCTAAAACTAGAACAACCCACATCTTTAACTATTTGCAAACAGTAATCTAATCTAGGTCTACCTCTACTCCTCCTAACTCCCGTTTCTGCCTCTAACATGTCTGACTAGACCTTCATGCCTGAGTAGGTGTCCTACCAACCTATCTCGCCTATTTTTTATTAACTCCCATAGAGTCCTTTGTTCTCCGATTCTTTCTAATACCTCTTCATTTCTAACCTTCTCTATCCACGGTATCCTCATCATCCGCCTATAACACCACATTTCGAGCGTTTCTAACCTTTTCTTTTCCGCGGCGCCCACCATCCATGTTTCGCACCCGTACAGCGCCGCGTTCTTAACATACACCTTTAGCAATCTTTTTCGAATTTTTAAATTAATCGTTCGCGAGCATAGAAGGGACTTCTACTACTAATCCTTCCGTCCTGACTTATCTGACTTCCTAGATACCTAAAATCAGCCACTTCTTTTAATCTTACGTCTCCTACCTTTACATTCGTTCTTTCCCCAATTTTTCTTCCCATGCATACCAGTATCTCTGTTTTACTTTAATTTATTTTCATACAGTACTATTTTGTCAATACCG